ATATATATATATATATTGTATATACATATTTGTATACAAATGTATATATATCGACCAAGTATAATAACAATAAGAAAAAAAAACATAAAATAAACAAACACATAAATTATTGATAAACATCTCTTTCGTATCGCTATTAATCATATATTCTGTGAGGGCCATAGATTTTAGAGTATCCTCCGGGAATTTAGTCTTGGTATTATTGTGATTATTTTTTATTTGTAAAAGTTGAAAAGTGGGACAATTCAGGGTTTGGCAGGACACGACTCCGAAAAGCCGGACAATCCCGCCGAAAGTGGGACAGTTGGAATCTATGAACTTGGCTATCTTTATTTAATATTACTATTGGCAGTGGATATTATTGTTACACCAGTATTAAACAGACTCTTAATTCTGATTGGATGTTATTGTTTTCTAGTTTAGGCATCCAATCTACACATGCAATAGGAATTGGTATAAACTGGGGTAACAGTAGTCACTATTTAAAAACTAATACAGTATTTTGATTTTATTTAGGTGTGGACCATGTCTTGCAATTGCTCCGTTCTTTGAACAGCTTCCAAGCAAATATCCAAATGCAGTTTTCTTAAAGGTTGATGTGGATAAATGTCCAGTAAGACAGTATATTTTTGTTATATAAGAAGGCAGTGGCTGTTATACCAGTATCTTAAACCATTTTCTAATTCTGATTGGCTGTTATTCTATGTATGGATTGAATTTAGGACAATACAGGTAACATCCAATCAGAATTATGAATTAGTTTAGACTGGAGTAACAATAGCCACTGCCTGTTGAAAAATATTTTAATCCAGAATGCCTGTTAACATATCCACAAATTTTCAAATTTCATCCAAGTATTTATGTAGGTTGTAATTTTGTTTAATTTACAAGATACCGTTAACCAGGGAGGCACTAACTGTTTATTAAGTACTGTATCCAGTTGACACTGTGTATATCCATGGAGGTAAAAAAGCACTACTAATATTATTTTGATATTCACATTAAAACGGGAGGTCCATTGTACACATCTGGCTTGTGTGCACTATAAAAGAAAGCATTGCACCCTTCAGAAAAGTAGGGGGTTACCCCGATGCTCTGGTTCACTTCAGCCCCTGTTGTTGCGGAGTGATGTGAACTAAGTGCCTCTCTATGGCTTCTAAATTAGTCATGGTTATTCTCGTATCTTTTCCTTTTTCCTCTGTTTCCTTGTGCTTTTCTATTTCCACATTACATTGAAAGTTATTTGTTTCTGAAACTCTTTGGAATTGGTCAGCTAATTTTATGCACATCACAGTAAGCCTTTCCTACAATTCACGTACAAGCCAATTCCAAAGCAAGAGCAAAGTAAGTCAGTGGTGAATAACATTTCCCCCACCCCAGATAAACACTTATCCCTACGGCCAGTAGGTGCGAATGCCCAAAACAACCTACTGTAGGCCTAGAGATAATTTTCAATAGATGTCAAAATTTTTAAACATTGTACTTAACAAAATTATGTAAAATTTTCTTTCTTCGACAGTCAACAGTAGAAACATACAGTGTTCGAGCCATGCCCACCTTTATTTCTATGAAAAATGGATTAAAACTTGACACAGTTCAAGGAGCCAAAAAAGACGATATCATAGCTATGATTGATAAACACTATCCTTCAAACCAAGGACAAGCTTCATCAGGAGTACCGGGGCACGTAAGTATTTTGAATAAATAATTATAATATAATTAAAATATTATTTTATTTTTTATTTATTTCTTAAGGCTTATGCACATCCTTACAAATATATCAAAATTGAAAATTCAAGAAAACTTATTTGTCCCATTTTAAGATAGGAGATTTGTCTTTCCTTTGCACCAGCTGGGGTGAAAAAAAGGATAAAATTACATGAAAATCAAAAAACAATTTCAACTAGGCAATGACAAGATATTACGTTAATATATTGAAAAGTAATAATGAAAATTTCTGCATAAAATTGTTTAAAATTGACTAAAGTATATGTACTTCATGTATGACCAGTATATAGTGTAATTTTAACAAAGATTAAAACGTGACAATCCCTACTTGTTGAATCCTACTGTCCTACATAGGTAGGCACCACTCCCTTTGGACAAGACAAATATACACACATGATGCTTTACACAAAAACTGAATCTCAATATGAGGCTTAGGGAGTGGAAAGTAAGCATCTTAACCACCAAGCTATTCGAATCCACTCCTTAATTATATTGTTAATAAAAATGTAAACATCTTAGAGTGGCTGCCTAAAAGCTTATATCTAGAACCCTGACGCTTTGTTGTTATGATCATTTCTTTTTAATTTGTTAATTTGGCTTTCAATTTTTAAATTTTTTTAGATGGATCTGTCCTCCTTTTTTTCAAAGTCTGGTTGTGTATGTTTAAATCAGAGTGATGAGACTGATTTGGAAAACTGCCTGAGGTTGGGTGATGGAACATATCTTGAATCTGACTGTGATGAACAAGTAAGTAAGGCCTAGTTCAGACTAGGTGGATAAACCCGGCTCAACTCACCGGGTTTATCTACCTGCCAGTCTGAACTGGGTGGCTTATCTCAAGCCAGGCTGTGTTCCTATAGTAACTAAGCCTGTTGGCCACCGTGTTTAACTTTTCTAAGCAGGGCTTTATCGTTGCGGGGGGTCTTGCATTGACTTCGGGTAACAAAAGGACCAATCAGCATTCAATTACAGTAGAACCCCTCATTTACGTACGTCACAGGCCCAGAGCCGTTCGTAATTCGGGTATTCGTAAAATCGGGGTTGACCCAAATTCCTATATATTTGCACTGGTACTACTTACACTTGCATAAACTAGGCCTAGGCTAGGCCTACAGGCTTACGCAGCTAAGTCTGAGGGGGCCTAGGCCTACAGTTGGCAGCTTCTAAGCATTCTGATCCCACTCTAGGCCCTGCACAAATTTGTTTTTATCGGACATTTTTACCTTCTTATATACCTAGATTGTGGATTTTATTCCAACACAACTTCCATAGATACTTGTTTATTATATATATTGATCATTCAATAAAACAATCAAGCACTATGTTGAATTTTAAAGCTGAAAACGGTGTTTGAAAGAGAAGTAAAATTTGTCGCATGCATATGTATGAAGCCATAAAAAACACTGACTTTGAAGAGGTCCGTTAGAGGGCCTCCTTCACTTGAGAATTACATAGTACTGTATAGTATGGTGTGTTGTGTTGTATGTATGGTAATAACAGGTACAATTCGAGCGGGTTTTTTTTTTTTTTAATCTTTCGCTTCAATTTTTATGACGTCATCACATTTATATTACGTTCGTAAATGAGAGGTTCTACTGTACTTACACTGTGACCGAGCGTATGTTTCGCGAGCATTGTTTTGAAACATGTTTAATGGTTACGGTTCATTATTATGAAAATTCTCACGACTGGCTAATCCTGCTAGTCTGAACGCCTGCCAAAGTTAAGCCACAATATTAAAATTGTAAATAAAAAAATAATGTTTATCTTTCTTATCTTGATAGTTATTAATCTCTTTGGAATTTTCCCAAAATGTTAAAATCCATTCTATAAAATTGCATGGACCAGCTGACAAAGCTCCAAAGACAGTAAAACTCTTCATCAACCAACCTCACCAGATGGACTTTGACCAAGCTGAGCGGAATGATCCTGTACAAAAACTGGAGTAAGTTGACAATCTTTCAAATTTCAAATATATTTCATTGACTCTCTACTCTGTTTTTCTGTCTATCATCTAAAAATGTTCCTGTATCCATATGAACAGTTTTGTAAACAGTACACTACACCATTTGTAAGATATATTCTTATTCATGTCTTTTTTTCACATGCTTCAGTTTGCTTATTTATCATTAAATTTCATTGCATTAGTTCACTCCTATAAATACTATAATTTGCTTGTAAACATTGTTGCACCGAGATACAGGTAACATAATGAGTTACTTTATTTAAAGTAAGTCTCGTTATGAGACTTACGCCCGTATTCTTAAAACGGACTTTAGTCGAACTAGAACTTCATTTAGTCTTAGTTGCAACTTCAACTTCAATTTGTATTCACAACCAACATAGTCAAAGTTCTAACTACGACTAAATCAAGTCCTAGTTGCAGTTCAGCTGAAGACGGCTGGCAGGCAACAACTATCAAACTAACCAATGAAAAGAGCTAATTTTAATAGCAGACGAAATTTTAGAGATCCGGTAACGCGGATGAATATTAAACTGCCGTCTGTCTTTAAAAAACATATTTCCTCATAATTCATAATATAGACAATTATTCGCCTAACTAATATTCTATATTTATAACTATATTAGTCGTTAACATCTAACGATAAAGAATTTCAACTGTAACTGAAAATTTGCTTTCTTTGGAGAACTATTATAGTTGAGGTTGAGTGAGGGCGGCGTCGTCTTTGTTGCAGTAAAGCTACATGACCACAACGCGAGGGGATTTGCCACAACTGTCGCATGTGGCTAGCAAAACATGTTAATTTCGCCTTTTGGAAGCTAAACGTAATGTGTAATGTCCCTTTTTTTGAACACATTGGAGATACATCAGACCTATTTATACAATCGTTTTTATTCATTTCACTTTATCGTAAGTTACAAAAAGCATGTTTTTAGTTGGGTAAATATTTCGAGTCTGCGATCTAGCCTGACCCTAGGCTGACTAAACAATCGGCCTGAGGAGGTATCATTTTAGTCGAGGTTTGCGTGATTTAGTCATAGTGCCAGTCGAAGTTTGTTTTAAGAATACGAAATGACATAATTTTGAAGTTTTAGCTCAAACTACGGCTAAAGTTTGTTTTAAGAATACCGGGGTTAGAGAATGGAGAAGTTTTTAGCGGGTTGGCTGGGAGGTATTGTTCCTGCTTCTTGTATTAACGTATCTTTATTCAATAGCACAGCAAAACAAATTTTCATGGAAAAATGTATAATACAGGTAGGTACATCATAAAAAAGGTACATCATGAAAAAAGGGAAAATGTTTACCAAATAAGTGCATTGTCATTATCATGATTATTTTATGCTGAAGACCCTGGTTAAAACCTGGCCTGTGTTGGTTTGAATTGGAGTCTGATCACTTGGCTGCTCAAATAACCCTCATATTGGGAGGTACTGTAGGTGGGTAAAGGACAAGGTTTGTATTTATATGCGTCCGTTGTATGTTGTAGTTAAGTCGGGTGGCGCTGCAGTGCGGCTGGCCCCAGAGGCCCAGCCGAAAAAGAATTATTATTAGTCGTGAGAATGACTACATTGCCTGGCATTGGAAAGCAAGCTTCTTAACCACCAAGCTACATCTCCACTACATCGTATAATTTATATGTTCATGCATTTGGTGATAATGTACTTAAAGATGAATATTAACATTGGCCGTGGGAATAATATTTTCTCTCTTTCTTTTGTTTTTGTTTTTTTCAGGCTAACAGAAGATGATGTGAAGGAAGATTGTGTAATTCCTCTCAAGTTTGTGAAGCTACAGAATGTGAATAATTTAACAGTAAGCTATCCACGCTCTGTATACCAACTAGAACGTAAAGTTATACTACACTTAAAAGCCTACAGCCTATTGCTTACAGTTGCTCTGTCAGCAAATAAGCGGTTTTTTTCTGGAAACGCTTAATCACTGACCATGCCGACTACTGGCTATTACCAGGCCTAGGAAATAGAAAACCTCTAACTCAACCCTTTACTAGGCCTACCTTGATAGGATTGTTCGTACATGTAGTGTACTTTTTTCCTAAAATTACCATTCATTTTACTGTATTATTAAGCTGATGACATTAAGTGAATTTGTCTTATGATTGGTCAATGCTTATGATTTGTCGCTGACGAATTGTGAAGAAATTTTCTGCTGATTCACCGTTAACAAATCAGGGAGCTTTTCCGATTGTCTCTGAGACAGCTACAGTATGTATTCGACAATTGCTGTCGACAATGTAGCGATTTTATGGAAACCAGTCTTAGGATAATGCAAGGTGCACACAACCTACCAGGGGCGGATTGCTATTATATGCAGTCTATAAGTGGTCTTAACACTTAGTTGGTTTTAATCTTGACAAAAACCTTATCAATATCGATTACAAAGCACAGTTGCTATAAGGTGGTGGTTCTATTTCAGTACTTGACAGTCTTAGTTAAGTCTGTTTTATAGCAATAAAATAGTGACAATTGAAAGCAGCTTAGCTCAGTCGGCTAATCTAGTGGTAGCCACTGTGTGTGCGCTTGACTGTGGAGATCTCTCTGCCTCTCCTTGTGTTTCAGCTGAAGGGCTGAAATACAAGTTACAATAGCACACTGTTTCTTTCGGATGAGACTTTCAAGCTGTTGGTCCCGTGTGCATTTATGGCCCATGTACATGTTAAAGAATGCAGTACACTCTTCGGAAAAGAGTAGGGGATTGTCTCCCGGTGAACTGCCGAATTGCCCCACTGTAAATAAGTCTTCTTCTAGACTTTCGTTGGCTATCTTTGGTGTTTACACCTAACAAATCCAATCATATCCAATCCAACTATCATAATAAATCGACCAAGACTACTCTTTAAGACCATTTTATAGCATATCTGCACCAGATGACTTATATTAGCCATGTTTCCATAAAAACATATACTGTACCAGAACAGTTAGCTGCCAAGCAATTTCAAATTTTGAAAAGATTTTGGAAATACAGTATATAATATGATTGTGAATTACATTGTTTTATATGTACCGTAATACTGTAGGCCCATTATATAAGATCCCACTTGTCTTAAAATATACTTTAATAAAGATGAAACTTTTTGGGAATGCAAGTTGAGAAGAAAATTCCATATTAAACAAATGACACAACATTTGCATAACATCGGTTCATATATTCGCCCAACACAATTTCTATATTTCCATGTTTCTTAGATATTTGTGAAGGACAACTTGGGAGGAGAAGACACATCAGTGATCGAATACCTAGGCTTGATTGGCTCACCTGTATCTACAATAAAAATGGATGAATTTAAAAGAGTAAGTCTTTTGTAAAATGATTCCTACCAGGCAATTCAGTTTCCTGTTGCTGTCACAACTTGCAGAGTAATATATTATTTGAATAATAATAATATTATAAAATAAACTGTAAAATAGAAATATTTATATTATTATTGATAATAATAGATGCTATGAAAACTCTTAAATATGTTTTTTTTTTCTTTTGGTTTCTTTTTTATAGGTTGCAGGGAAGAAGGGAGAAAGCCATTGATAGAATCTAATCTACATTCTGGAGTTGAATTTGTTTTAAAAAAAAACCCATTCCAATACATTATATTACTTGCAATGGTTACCTTTTAACATAACTCGTTTATATTCAAACAATAATTTTTAATACAAAATCAGAACAAAGTGGAACATTAATATACTGAATAGCTTCAGTCCAAAGTCAATGGTTAATAAAACAAATAGGACCTGCCAAGGACAACATGCCCTTTTGGCAAAATGCCAATAGCAAGGTTGTTCCAGTTGAAAGTGGTTGATTGTCTTCATCTATTATTATTATTATTAGTGATAATTATTTTGGCATTTATTGAACTGTAAGTTATACTAGTACTTCCCACTGAAATTTCCTCACAATATTACACTGGCCATTCGGCAACAGTAATTCTCTGTTTACACTGTAAACTTTATGTGACTTGCCTATTGGTTTAATATGACATCATCATGGCCATATATCACACAAGCGGTTAAATAAAATTTGATAATGTGGACAGAAGTTAAAGCCAGGCTCTGGAGGGAAAAGATTTTGTGTTGTACAATTGATTTTTCTAAGACACAACAATGTTGTTTGATGAAAAACTTAAGCTCTGTCTACACTATCAAATTTTGTGTGACAAAAAAGTGTGATATGCCCATATATGGGCATGATGACATCACACTATGACCATATATAGGCATAGCATTACTATATATGGGCGTGTCACATTTTTTTGTCAAAGTAAATTTGATAGTGTGGATAGAGCTTTAGTTTACAAAATAGTCATGCACAAAGTTTAACCTTCCTGAAATGCAACCATTTACTCCTGGGTGGAGAATGACAAATTGTTTCATTCATGTACACAAGTGAATGGTATACATTGGGTTGTAATTTATTTTTATTATTGCTGCTTTTGTTATCAGCCATTGTATAC